GAAAAAAAACAGTACATGTTATGAAGCTCCTCATTATTCAGTTTGACCTTCTAAATTATTTTTTTTAATTCGCTTAGTGGGGGTGGAGTCCAGCTGGGGCCACTCGGCACGGCGGCCACTGATTGGGCTACTGTACCTGCCCCAGGTGATTATGATGGAGAATTTGGTGGAATGAAGATTGGCAGGGGAAACTGAAGTACTCGGAGAAAACCTGCAACGGCGCCTCTTTGCCCACCACAAATTCAACTTGACCAGACCTGGGATCGAACCCGGGCCGCCGCGGTGGGAAGACAGCGACTAACCGCTTGAGCTATGGCGCAGCCGGCCTTCTAAAATAAGTTTAAATACTTCTTTTCCTAAATTTGATATGCCATGCATTTATATGTTCAATTATTATATATATTTATTATACTTTCTGATGCTCCGGGTTATCGTTCTGAATCTTGCGTTGACATTCGGTTCAACAGACAGAAGATCCTAGAGCCTCACAGTGTATGTTACGAAGTTTCAACACACATGCAATGCATGCAGCTCATTTCTTTATCGCACATAACGGAGCATTCATCAAGTGTTGGAATACACACAAATAACAAAGTGGCACACAGAGAATTTAGAGCTCTCTCCAGCGGTGGCCAACTCATCAATTTCTAGAGCCCCTGGGGAATGCACGACGTAACACACATAACAACAAGAACATGTTCACTACGCAAACCGTTCCCCAGTATGCGACTACACGTTTCGGTACAATTTATATTCGTGAAGTTCTAAAGCAATTTTGAAACGAAGTGAACGGTCTATTTTCAATTAACATTTTTCCTAGTATAGCAGAACAGTGAAAACGGACATCAGCACCCAGCAAGTAAGTTATCTGGGGACTACAAATCTAAACAATCATGACGTCATGAAAGCAAATCGAGGTTTTATGTCCTTTGACACCGCCTGCAACTTTACTGACACTGTGCAAGGAATTGTAAGATAGAGAATCCAGCCTTTGCTATAAAAACACTGGATATCAGCTTCTGGGACGTAACGCCGTGTACCCCTTTGAAAATCAAATGACGTTTCGGAGGAACACGTCGCCTTGAACTTGAGGGCTGAAGACTAAGGTAAGCAAGAAAACAGCATGAAGCAGGAAGAGACCGCTTGATTGGTGGACCATGCTGTTCCTTGCTCAGCTTATTCTTCAACCTTGATGATGGAGGCTATATGTTCTCCGAAACGTCAGTCGACTTTCAACGAATTATAGAAGATAACACATCTCATAATCATCGTTGTGAGAATTTCAAATCTTAAAGACTATTAGATTAATAAGCTTCTGCAGTTGGTGTATCTCTAAATTCACAGGGTCCTTAAGGTCCTGTTTTCTATTTTATGTTCACGTCTTGGATTTATCTACCTGCACGTAGCGGTCTATTTTTTTTAATGCTAGTGGGGTGGGACTAAGTCCCTTGTACTGCGGCCACTTCTGGCCTATTGTACCAGCCCCAGATGATAGGTGAGGGTGATTGTGGAGCAATTGGTGGAATGAAAATTGGCAGGGGAAACCGAAGTACTCGGAGAAAACCTGCCCCAGCACCACTTTGTCCACCACAAATCCCACTTGCCCAGACCCGGGATCGAACCCGGGCCGCCGCGGTGGGAAGCCAGCGACTAATCGCTCGAGCTATGGCGCGGCCACGTCGTGGCCTAAGACATGCTCAAACAGTCACCTTCTCTAATTTCCTCTTGGTGTCGAAGTCCTACTATCACACGTCTTTGTACACTGAATAAAAAAAATGTTTCCCAAAATGAAAATAAATTTATTGTTCAACTGGTCATTTGCTTATCAGATTCTTTCACCTTAAAATATTAAGTAATGCATACAAATCATGCATGTCCCCTCTGTATGCTTGTACAGCATCACAAGTTCAGTATTTACTTTATCCGTCTTCGGTTCAAGTATTTCGACGGGCGTTTCATTCTCAAACAACATTCCAGTCAACATGAAACCTAAATATGATTAGTGCCTGTCGATCGTTAAATATGTCTCCGGGCTGATGGCCTTAAATTTTTACTGCCTACCTAATGACCAGACTTCTTTATATATATATATTGTGACATGTCTAACCGTTGCTGGACAACGGGAGGTGGAACGAGTTACCACGAAGACAGACCCTTGATAAACGGTAGGTTGCAAAGTTACGCAACAGTGGTAGCTACCATGTAACTGTTTTCTGCGTTGTCAGTGCGGAAGCTATATAACAGGAGTATTCGTCAGTGAGAGAGAGTAGTCAGTCAGGTGCAGTCTAACATTCGCCGGAGTGAGTTGAAGTCCATTGTTATTGAGTTGTATCGAGTGTATGTAAATGACTACAGGAGAAGTATTTGTGATACTGCCGATGGCAGTAATTGTGAGATTGTAAATTGTGTAAATGTAAGAGCGAATGTGCAATAAATTCGCTAGATCCAGAATGGAGTGAAGTTATTTTTCGCGTGACCTACCCAGCACGTGACAATATATTATGTGATGGATCAAAGGTTACGTACATGCAGATGTAGTTTTTGGGTAAATTTGGAATCACAATAATTAGACTGTAAGATTAAAAAACAGTAATGAGGACATGAACCGGGAAGCTTGGGTTTACAAGGAAGTGTACAAGCAATTCCTGACTAATCAGAATGTTAACGCGGCAGCGTAATAACGCTGACGCTGAGGAAGAGCTATATGAAGTAGGTCATAAGCACTATGGCAGACGGAAAACGCTGAGTAGGAGAAGGCGGCACAGCCAAAAGAGCCAACCCCTTCTCGATCGACAACCAATAATCGAGCCACACCGACCCAAAATCACGTCAGAGTAGGAGGACCAATATACCCGGAACACGACGAGTCAGCAACCAGAGGTTATATAAACCCTAGACGAATCATTCTATCGGATAATTCAGGACAATTCAATGCAATTCAATTCTTATATTATAATATTATTAATGTCATTAATACATTAGTATTACCTTTGTGGCCATGAGTGGACGCTGGTTGGTGATGGTGAGCCTCTTCTTCCTCAGCTCAAGTAAGTGAAACCATCTTCATATAGCCATGAACATTAAGTGTAACAGTGATAATTGTAAAGTGTAAACCCCAGGGAAAGACAGGCTAACCAGATGGACTAGGTTCATTCAGTGATTCCCAGACGTAGAACACCCGACAGCAGGGTGCCAAGAGGTAGAAATGATGAGGCGCTGCAGGGTTATTCCCAATGTAAGACGAACCGACAAACGTCGGCACAGTGTGTATATAGTGTATATAACGACGTAGGTAAATAGAATAGGATAGGAATGTGTACGCGTTTAATTCAACCCAACATTTCCTTGAGCGTTACCCTCTTCCTTGACAACTCCAGGACCTCCCAACGCCCCGGTGAACTGCGAGTTAAGCCAGGACAGTGACGCAAGCTATGATAAGTTTACTAGATTTCTTGAAATAACAAGATGGTGGCAGCATACTAAACCGGGTGACAGAGCGGGATACTTCCACGCCCCCTGTCACCACGGCAAAATAGAGGTGTAGCGACGGCATAACAGTGAAGACAGCGGTGAGATAACCCATCCACCCCTGTAGTAAGGACGTAAGAGTGTAACAGCGGTGGAAGCGGTGGGGATTACCTGCACGCCCCCCTTCACGCCATAACATATTAAATTCCAAAATAGTGATATTAAACAATATTCTGGTCCTGTGGTTCAGTACTACATATTAAATTTTGAGGTCAGAAATGGAATCGAATATTTCATATACAGTATATTTCTATACAAAATTTATTGAATTTCAACATCATATAAATAAATTTTACGCTATCCCTGTAACAGGCCGTGGAGGCCCATAGGTTTATGTGATGCTGAGATCCCCCAATTTTCTAAACAGTCGGCTCACAGATGGCGGTGAGGTTGTCAGCCTTAAGCACCGGCCGCCCTTTACCCCCAAGAATATTCCTGGTACTCATTTCTGTTAGAGGTTGAGTCGACTCCAGGGCCATAGTGCTGCTGGAAGGATTAGGTCAATTAAAAAAATCTAGTCAACTCATCGGGCCTTGAACCCGCGAACTTCCGATTAAACTTCATTTATAATACAAAGATTTCTATGCTAAACAAATTAAAATAATACATAAAGATACCGTGTTTTTGGACTTTGTCCATCGTCCGGATTCTAAATAAATTTCTACCTCCCTATCTATCCTGGTTCCACGCATGTGCTTGCTTGAAACAATTTTTAGTGTATATTTTTACTGTTAGCTCTCATGGACTTAGCCTGGTCTCAGGTGTTCATAGCCTTAGTGTTTTGTGACATCGGTTGTCCAGTGATTAAGGTTAGCTCTTTTAAGGGACCCAACAGAGTAGGTGTCTTCCCTCACCTGAGGACGGAAACAGATCCAGTTTCCAGATCAGACACACATATCCTGTTTGTTTAGAATCCTTTCTAATATTATCCTATCATCTACGTCTAGATCTTCCAAGTGAATTCTTTCCTTCAGGTATTCGGACTAAATTTTTATAGCCATTTTCTTCCTGCCTTCGCCCAAATCATCCTCTGTAATTTGATCAGTCGACATAAACTGTCATGTGGAGTTTCAATTCTTAAGTGACTATTTTTTACTTATGAGTAGATTGTTCCAAATCATCTATCAAATTCTGTAGCTGCTGCTTTCAAAATTAGAGACCGTCTCCACCACCCTCAAGTACAGTAATTACAAGAAAGCAAAGCAACAGAAGAAAGCAGTTTAAAGTGACAGTAACAAGTGAGAGATGTATCTGGGAATAACGGCATAACGGCCTGTGGAAATACGAAAACCCGAAGTAGATATAAGCGACTAACAACAAAATTAAGGCCGCGCAATAGCTCAAGCGGTTAGTCGCTGGCTTCCCATCGCGGCGGCCTGGGTTCGAACCCGGGTCTGGGCAAGTGGGATTTGTGGTGGACAAAGTGGCGCTGGGGCGGGTTTTCTCCGAGTACTTCGGTTTACCCTGCCAATCTTCATTCCACCAAATTCTCCATCACCATAATCACCCGGGGCAGATACAATAGGCCAATCAGTGGTCGACGTGCCGAGTGGACCAACTGGACTCCACCTCCCACTATGCGAATAAAAATCACCGAAAAATTAAACGTAACAATCTATGTAAGGAAGTTAAGTTGCCTTCAGTAGTGACCGTAGAGTGAATACGTAAAAGGAAACGGAATTCACACTTCAAGTTTCATCTGAACATCTGTATGCAACGGAAACAATTATTGAAAGTGTTGCGAAGTGAATAGATAGCCGTGTTGCCAGCACAGAGTTGTCATATCTTATTGTGGAAAGAGAAACAAACCACTGTCACATACATACTGATCTCTTTATGACGGCATGTGAAACTGTACAGTAAAATTTGACCTACACACAAGAGTTCACATTTTAAACTACATATTTTTATTTGTATTTTAGTCCAAATTCCATATTAAAAAATAAAAGTAGTGTTACGAGATAACCATGCTATATATCTGTGTATCTGTCTTATCAACTTTCAAATGCCTGAAGCAATATTTATGAAATCTGGTATGTATATCCTGGAGCCCGAGCCCATCGCAACAGCTTATTTCATAAATCTCTCCCATCAGTTTGTGGGTCTTAAACTATATCTGTTTATTTGTATTTAGCCCAATTTCCATATTTCGAAAAAATAATAATTAAACTTATGAGATAACCATGCTATGTGTCTGTGTATCTTCCTTATCAACTTTTAAATGCCTGAATTAATCTTTATGAAACTTGGCACGTATATCAGAGCTCCGAAGCGCATCATAACGGCTTATATAATAAATCCCTTCCACCAGTTTGTGAGTCTGTACGAGAATCCCTCTGCCGTTGCTAGGCAACGGCTAGGTAAAAACGTAAACGCTGCAACAAATACACATGGAAAAAATAGAAGAACTGTTGGAAACGTCGTTTTCTATGCGATCCGTGTCTTAGTAGGTGGGCAGCCGAATAGTTCTTCCCAGAACTTAACTTTGTAGTATTTCACTTTCAATAAAATGTGTTTCGTTTAAAGTGGCTACGATTATAGTTGTTTGGTAATTCATTTGTTTGCTTTGAAAACGGAGTCGATAATGGCGCGGAGAGTAGGCGTAATCTGACCACGCGTCTATGGATTAGGGACGTGGCGCCTGTAGGACAAGCAACCCGGCACACAGTTCCGGACCTCGGCTATCGACCACCCTTGATCACAGAGCGTGACCGGGCCGTTACTTGATTTGGATTCATTACTCGGCTGTTGTAGTCCGCTGTACCAGCAGCCGGAGTTGTGCAACGTTGATTCTGTGCACGATGCGATTAGAGGAAATGTGGAGGGAGGGAGGGAGGGAGGGAGGTTAATTGTTGCTGGTCCTCGCCAGCACTGTCATTCTTGGATTCTGGTATCGTCGACATCTATGACCGAGATTTTTATTCTCTCCTAAATACAGAGGGGCCCAAATAAATGTACGCACACCGACCCGCCCCCATTTCCTTTGACTGCCCTTCGTCATGACATAAAATTTACCTTACCAGTATTTATTATATTTATTAAAAGCAATGAAAATGTAATTGTAAAATTTGAGATCACTTTCAAAATCCATTAAGTCTTCGGAACTTTTTGGGCGCTCTTATAAAATTATCTGATTTGGAGTTGATAAATTTTAGAAATCGCACTCTAATTTTGTTTTGATACATAAAATCAAGACAAAGAATTGTCATTATGATTTAAAATAAGAACAAATTTACCGAACTTGAAAAATATTTACCATCCAGCTGACTAAATGTACATTTACTTCTTACAGAATGTAATCTTACAAAGTATACTGCCTTTTTTAATGTGATGATATAAAGTCTGTTAGACCGTTATCAATGTTCTAACGAAACGTCGGCAATGATCTGCAAGACTACCGGCCATCACAGAGCAGAAAAGTCGTTGCGCCCACGAGAATCTCAAATTTCAACGCAAGTTATTCAATTCTTCTAAATCATCTCACTGCGACCTTCGAGGGAAGAATTAGAATCGTCTTAGGCTTGAAACTATGTACAGTAGTTTGGCAGACTGGTAGCAGCGTCTTCACAGAAATTACAAGCAATTGTAAAGATATTGTTCAAAAAATTTTACATAAAAGAAGAATGAATTACTTAGCTTCTGGGATACAACGCCATGTAGTCCGTTGAAATGAAACCGGTGTTTCGGGGAAGATATCGCCTCCATCTTCAGAATCAAGGAATACGCCAAGCAAGAAACCAGCATGAAAGTATATGGCAAAGAGACCTGCTCTCATTCCGGTTTCTTGCTTAGTTTATTCTTCGATTCTGAAGATGGAGGCGATATACTCGCCCGAAACGTCGACTTACTTCCAACGGACTATACGGCTTTGTGTTCCTGAAGACAGGACCCTTCATAACCAGCGATGTGAGAACCTCAAATCCTACAAATTATTTAGGATATTTCGTAAGAAATTCCGTGATATATACGTCACTCCTATATCGTCAGGATGCTGAAACTTCGGATCGTGCGAACTGTCAGTGTTTCAGACAAGGTCTAGTGAAAGGGCACGTTCAGGATTATGTATGTATATGTCTACAGCAGAGTTCTGATGTGCTCTCCGCTGTTCGCTTGACTTCAACTTCCAGTCATGAACTGCTGTGCCTTGAGGACCGGTGTAACATGGATACCTGCGTCTACGTGTATATATATATATCGTATATATATATATCGTCAGACCCAGCTGGCACTGTGCAGTGACCGTTGTATCTTTAAATGTTGTGTTCGTAATTTTACGATGCTCTAATTATCTGAGACTGTAAAACGCAGAGTTGTAGGATGACTGATGAATCATGAAATGGATAGGATTGGGAAGGAAGCTGTTGTGGTTCATTCAGGGTGCTATCCTGGTATTTGCTTGCACGGATCGAGAAAATGCACTGAAAACATTCAGATAGACGGTACCTCTGATGGATTTTAACATTCAAAAGCTCTGAATTTTATCAGCAGAAAATATTTGTATGTTTCCTATGATTCTCAG